TGACATAATATCAGGTTAAGTTTAGAATACTGTCTGGCACATAAAAGCACTGAATTAAGGATGCTGTTATTATTATCAAACTCAGGACCAAGGAGAATGTACTCAGCAGTGATAAAATCAATTAAGTACACACTGAATGCCAAGGTATCCACCACTGTGCCAGGCACTGTAGCTAGGGAGAACTGTATAATGGGAGTGTCTATCACCACAAAACTAACAGTGACTGCTCTACTTGGAGTGGCAAGGTCAAAAAGCATTAACTAAGAGCACAAAATGTAAGCAGATGCTAACATAGGAGGAACAAATGCTTACAAATTAAAATAAAATGATAGCTAATATTTCTTACTATATATACACATTTACTATATATACATATATATACACACATATATATATATACACACTTACTATACTTACTATATATACATATTTACTATATATACACATATATATACACACTTACTATACTTGCTATATATACATATTTACTACATATACATATATAAATATACACTTAGTATATATACATATTTACTATACAGCAGGGACTGTTTTAAGCAATTTATATAAATTATCTCAGTCTTCACAACCCTATAAAGTAGGTATTATTATTATTAACTCTATTTTAGATGAGAAAACTAATAGAGAAGTAAAGGCAAATGTTTACAAATTTAGTAAAAGGCAGAGGGAGAATCCAAACCCAGGCGATATGACTGTATGGCTGCCACCAAATGACTGAACTACAGTGCAGTGGGGGACACAATAAATAATATCACTCCTCACTGAGCATTTACCATGTGCCAGGCACTGTACTAGGTAGTTGCAAATACTCCCTTGTAACAACTCCATTTTTTTTTTTTGAGAAGGGTCCTGCTATGTAGCCCAAGCTGGTCTTGCACCCTCTATGTAGTCCAGGTCGGCCTCAAACTTGCAGTGATCCTCCTGCCCCAGCCTCCCCGATGCTGGGAATATAGTTGTGCACTACCATATGCAGCAACAACTCCGTTCATTTTACCTATGGGATAACAGGTAAAGAGGATAAAATCTGCTCAACATTAACAGTGGGGGATGGAGTGCTCATTCACAGTTAGGCTGACCCTGAAGTCCACTCATTATCTTTCTGACTTCATTTTATCTTTTAAAACAAAGGCAGGCTTAGTTATAAGGAGCAGGATTTAAACCCAACTTAAAGAATCTGTAGCTGAGAGTGGTGGCTCATGCCAGTAGTATCAGTATACTAGGAGGCTAAGGCAAGAGGATCACAAATTCAAGCCCAGCCTGGGCAACTCAGGAAGACCCCGTCTCAAGAAAAGAAGTTCAATTGTTATTTTTTTGGTAAACGAAATACATCAATAGGTTAGTCACTTAAAGAACAGAAATGCTGCTTCAGAGTTAACATCTAAGCTATTCTTTTTCTATATATTCATGAGCAACACCTGCCCAGACTCCTCAATCCACAATAAGCAGAACCAAATATTCTTCCTCTATACTGCAAACACATTCTTAACAATTGTTTGTACTAAGCAGCTAGCCCTAGCTGTACCCATAATGACCCATAGGCTACCCTATCTCAGGTTTGAAATGTGCTTAGCAATTTCAAACCCATGTTGGTGGTTGAGCAGATCAGGGGAAAAAGACAGAAAGCTATTCCCTCAAAATTTTCAACTGGTATAAGTGCATGCAAGGCTGCAAGACAGATACCTGTCTGCAAGATTCCATTTTGAGAGTGTGCTTGGGTCTAACGGATGTGTCTCAGAATGGTTTGGCCACTAGCCCCATCACTGTGTAGGCCCAATGCCATCCTATTCTCAATTCCTCAACAAGTAAAAGTAATCCGAAGGGAAGAATTTCAACTCACTGCTTAGGATCATAGGCTATGTACGGCAACATATGGTATAAGGGCAACATGGCATTCTAAAATGATAGAAAAGCTTCATTCATTCAAATCAATTAAATACAATTATTGAGCCTGATTCCTGGCTACTTCTCTGATCTTTTTCCCTACTTCACTCCTCTTAACCTGTAATCCGACCAAACTAGCCTCCTTGTTAGTGATTCTTCAATCAAAATCATCTTCTTTTTCTTCTTCATCTCTCAAAAAAAAAAAAAAAAAAAAAAAAAAGCCTAGAATGCCTTTCTCCACCCCTCACACAGCTCCTTCTCCCACTTCATTCAGTGTCTACTCACTCAAATGTCAACCTCTCAGAGGGACCTTCCCTGACCAACTTACTTAAAATAGCACACCTACCCCTTCTCCCTGCACTCTCCATACACTTATACTACTTTCCTTTCCTTCATAGCATTACTGATATTATTTGTATGTTCATATATATATAGATGTGCATCTATACAGACACAAGTGCATGTGCTATCAGAGCAGTTCACTGCTCTATCCTCAGCACACAGAAGACTCTCAAAAAGTATTTGTTGCATAGTGAATTGTAGCATATGCTTGGAACTGAGATAACAAGAAATACAGTGATGAATAACTAACATCCCTTGCCTCAAAGGAGGTAACAATCTAGCAGGAGAGATGGAAACATTGGAAGAAAAGAAAGTACCACAACTTCAGAGTGTTTTCTAGAGACAAAGTGTCTTCCCGAGAGTCATTTGTATACTTAAAATGTTAACAGTTACAGATCTATAATATTAATTAAAAATCATAGTCAGGCATGGCAGCACACACCTATAATCCCACACTCTTAGGAGGCTGAGGGAGAAGGATCACAAGTTTGAGACTGGCCTGGGAAACTTAGCAAGATCCTGCCCCCACCCCTCAAAAAAGAAGTAAGGATGTAGCACACTTCAAAGATTCTGGATTCCATCCCTAGCGCCGCCACAAAAATGAACACATGAATGAATACATAAATAATTTAAAAAATTAAATGAAATACTATGCTACCTAGTATTTAAATAGTAGCTATTGATATTATTAATGGTTGATTTCAATAATCCCCTTGAGTGCAACAGCCAATCAACAGTTAAATCTTAGCAATTCCATCACCAAGGAAAACTCTCCTACTGAATCTTTTTCATTTTCCTAGTCCCTAACTGATGTTCTCTGATTCCAGTCTCTTTCCCTTCCAATTCAATTTACACATTCCTAAGAAATTAAATCCAAGTCTCTCTGTTAGCACATAATGTCCTTTATGTTTGGGCTCCAACTTACCTTTTCAACATTATTTTCCATTATTTTCTAGAGTTTACCATCTCAGCTAAATTATTCTTTTCCTATATATGCCCTATGCTTTTCTACCATGTCTGTTCATCTTATTTACTATTGGAACACTCTTTTCTTTACCTTCAAAGGCTTAAACTCCTTTCATCATATTTCCAGACCCAATTCACACATCGTAATGCCTTCCCTGATCCCTACAAACTGAAAATGGTCTTTCTCCCCAAATATCTACATACTGTTATTTATACTTCTAGTTTCTATACATACTACATAGCCTGATACTCAAGTAAATACGGAATACATACAAAAAGACATTAAAATTAAATTTGGCCTCAACAAGAAAATTTCAGCCTTGGGCTAGGGATTTAGTTTGGTGGCATGAAGTCGTGAGTTTGATCACCAGTACCAAAAAAAAAAAAAAAAAGAACCTTGAGCCAGAATTTTCTGATCTAACCTGTACAACAGCTGCCTCACAGAAGAAAATTGGAACACAAAATACTATACTTTGTAACCACCAGGCTTTTTTTTTTTTTTTTGTCCGGAGGATCAAACTCCTGACCTCAGGCTTGCCAGGCAGGTGCTTATGCTGCTGAGCTAAATCCCTGGCCCAGTAATTTTTTTAAGTTTCTCCATTTATCAGGCCACATATTCTTTTTTCCACTTGCAAATTATCCATTCTTGGCCCCTTCCCATCATAAACTTTTCAACCTCTCAAATTCTACAATACACATTTCAATTTAAAAAACAAGTAATGGATTGTTCTCTCAAACATAGGATATAATTGTAATTCAGACCAACTAGTTCCACCTATTAGCAGAGTACATTCAGCCACGCTAACAGAAACACAACAACAAGCAACAAGGATGAGGACCACCATTCTTTCCAAGAAAGTTACTAGGGAATTACCTCCTGTATATAAGGCTCTGAAATGATTTTCAAACACAAGAAACAGTCTGTATTTGAGTCGGCTACAGTCTCACCCAGGCCCTAATGGTGAGCAAGGAGTTTTCAGATATGCAATGACATTCTGAATTCCACCACCAACTCCACCATCTCTTACTTGCTATGTTGCTTTGGCTAAGTCCCTGAGCTGTTCCTGTGTATCAGACTTGTTCAAAAGTGTGGCTCAACAGGAAAGGAAAATAAAAGCCTCATCTATTTGAAAGCCAAAAATGTAAACATACTCTTTCCTATAAAGATAAAATAATGTAAATTAAAATGCCTTCTGAGAAGTTATCTTTATTAAAACAAGCCAAATCCCGGTCATTGTGTGTAACCTGCAAATTCATTACAGGAAGAAGTGTGTTTTAAGTCCTCCCCAAAAGATGCATTTTCTACTTCCCTTAATTGAAAGTTGCTGATTTCTAAGGAACCAGTGGCTAAGCAGAATGCAAACCCAAACCCTAAATCAGTAAACAACCCCCGATCCACACTGGCCAAAGAGGAAAGCGAAGTGGGTGGAGGCGGATGACAGGAAGAACTCAACTGACCATTAGGCCAAGTCAAGCACTCGCTGTCCTCGAAGATACACACACACCCTCACCCTCAGGCTGTCAGAAGACGAAAACACACACGCACCCTGGGACTGTCAGTTCTGCTCCAATATTGTGAGGACAGAACTCAAGAAAGGAAACTGGAGCTAAATCTGGGGCTCGGGACTCTGGGGGGAACCGGGCCTGCCAGACGCGGGGATGACGGGCGCCGCCCCCAGAATGGAAGCTCGAGACAGCCTCAGGTGTGGCTTTGGCCGCAGCCGCGCCAGGCAACCTCACCCGGGCCGACCCTCAGGACGCCCCCGCCCCCAGGTGGCTCCCGGGCTCACTGGCTTGGCTGATCCGCTGGATGTTGCCGCTGCAGGTCTGGATGATGCTGTTGAAGTCCCGGAGCTGGGGCCCCGAAGGCCCCGGGTTCCGGTACATGTCTAAGGGTCCGTAGGACATGATGAGGAGGTGAGACTGGCTCGCCCTACTCGCCTCTCCCACCGGAAGCAGCCCGTAGACTGGACTCACAGGCTGACACAAACCGGGAAGAGAAAGGGCGGGGAAAGGGGCTGAGGCTGCGTGCGCAGTGGCCCCGCCCACACGCAGCACGCACGCGTCCGCCCCGCCCCACTCCACAGTGCGCAGACGCCGCTGGAATTGGTGGTAGCTTGGAGACAGGACTTCTCCGACCTTGGGGATGCGGGGCGGGGCGGTGACGTCCTATAGTTGAGGTCTCTGATTGGATGAGCCTGGGTGGAGGTGTTTTTCGCCGGCACACTGTGACAGGAGGCAAAAATTTTCGATTTGCATAAAATTGTACTAGATGATCTCAGCCCTTACATCTTATTCTGTTCTATTCTTAGAATTCAGGCCCAAATATGGGGGAATTAAATAACCGTGAAGCTCAGATCCGTAACCGAACAATAACCTGAAATTCTTCACTTTGCTTCCATCCCCTATGGCTTTGCAGATCACGTTTATTTCTCCCGCCATCCCTCTTCTAAACAGTAAATTAATAATTAGACCTGTTGACCATGGGTTGTGGTGAGTCCTTACAGCAACTCACTTATTCATAAGCCCTTCCATAACAAGGAATGATGCCCTTATTAATATTTTTATCTGTAAAATAGATAATAGACTCGGGCGTGGTGACGCACTCCTGTAATCCCAGATCAGGCAGAAGATCATTGCAAATTCGAGACCAACCTGGACTACAAAGTGAGCCCAAAGCCAGCCTGAACCGCATAGCGCGACCCTGTCTCAAAAAAATAAAAAAAATAAAAAAAAGATAATAGACTGTCGATTTTTTAAAAAGTTGACCTAAAGAAACTCGGCAAACTAAACATTTTCCCTTTTACAGGTGGAAAAATTAAGACCAGAGAGATTAATCGCTTTCTGGAAGTTTGACCTTAAAAGCCAAACACTAAACTGACTGTTATCGCTATTTCCCTAAAACTCATTCCTATATTCCCACATTTATTCTCTGTGTAAATTCCTCCCAACAACCTGCACATCTATTTCCCAAACCAAGATTTATTGGAGTACTAGGGTCTTAACATTTAAAAATCATTGTGGTAAGTAATTTGCAGTGTCAGAGCGCAACATTTCCATAGAAGATTGCATTTTGTGAGCCAATGGTGAAATGAAAGACACGGGATGGGATTTGGCTTTGGGAAGAGTTGGATGGTGAGCAGTGAGGGAGAACTGGCAGTTTCCTCTGTTCTCTACCTGCCTCACTCCATTCTGCTTGTGAAGTCTCTGAGAAATGCAAAGAGGAAGCAATTTGCCTGTGTGGGAGGAGCACACCCCCTCAAAAATAACACAGGTGAAGGAGCCTGTGTTCAACCTCAGAGCTTTTTCAAGTGCAGCTCTCTCTGTTTTTCATTGGGGTGCATTTACAAGATCTTTTTTTTCTCTATAGGAAGGGACATTTGGGGTTCTTTTTTTTAGTTATTAAAACCCTACTAGTTCTTTTTTTTTTTTTAACCCTACTAGTTCTTTTTTTTTTTTTTTTTAACCCTACTAGTTCTTAAGATTCATAGTTTTGTAGCAAATAATGCAGTTTATTTTATTGGTACTTTTTAGATGTACATAATAACATCATAGAAAATTTGTACCTGTATGTGATTTATCTTGATTTTTCTTTTTTTAAATGCTCCTCCTCTCCCTTCTACTCTCATCCCATTCATTTATCTAGAAATGGCTCGTTTATCCTTCTTTGTGACGGAGTAGTACTCCATTGTAAAAACAAAACACCCTCCACATATTCTTTATCCATTCACTTGTTGATGGGTATTTGGGCTCTTTCTGAGATCTAGCGATTACAAACTGTGCAGCTATAAAAATGGGTGCACATATATTGCTGTGGTCTGATGTTTTAAATTCTTTCAGGAAGATATCAAGAAGGGGAATAGCTGGGTTGAGTGGAATCTCTAGTTTTAGCTTTCTTGAGGAATCTCCACACTAATTTCCAGTCTATGCTCCCACCAGCAGTGGAGAAGCATTCTTTTTTCCCTACAGCACCACCAGCATTTATTATTGATTGATTGATTTCTTTCTTTTTTTGATACTGAGAATCCAAATCAGGACCTTATGTTTGCCAGGCAAGTGCTTATGCTGCTGAGCTATATCCCCAGCCCTGATTGATTTCTTGATAATAGCTATTCTTTCTGGGGTAAGATGGGATCTCAGCATTGTTTTAATTTGCATTTCTCAAATGACCAGTGAAGTTGAACATTTTTCTTCTATTTACTTGCCATTTCTACTTCTTCATCTCAGAAGTGTCTGTTCATTTAGATGCAAATTTTTTGAAATGGGTCTTTAAATTTGGAAGTGTAAAAAAAATAACTAGGGGAAAAAAAAATAGGAGCTGGGGATTTAGCTCAGCGGCATAAAGTGCCTGCCTAGCAAATGTGAGGTCATGAGTTTGATCTCCGGTTCCACACACACACACACACACACACACACACACACACACAAAATGGGAGATGTGGTTTTTTTAGTTCTTTGTATATTCTCGATATTAGTTCTGACGCTGCTGCTGCTGCTACTACTACTAATATTAAAGAAAAAACCCAACAACCAAAAAATAGATATTGGTCCTTTGTCTGAGGGACAGCTAGCAAAATTTTTTTCCCACTCTGTGAGTTGTCTCTTCAATTTGTTGGTAGTTTCTTTTGCTACGCAAAAACTTTTTAATAAGCTCAGATCTCATTTGATTCTTTGTGATATTTCCTGTGCATCAGGGTTTTGTTCATAAAGTCTGCCTATGCCTGTGTCTCCAAGAGTTCTACCTATTACTATCTTCCAGCAGATATTGTTTTTGTTTTAATATTTAAGTCTTTGATCCATTTTGATTTTAGTTTAATTCATGGTGAGAGGTATAGGTCCAGTTTTAATTTTTGGTATGTGGCAAGCCATTTATGAAAAAGGCTTTCTTGGGGCTGGGGATTTAGCTCAGCGGCATAAGCACCTGCCTTGCAAGCAGGCGGTCATGAGTTCGATCCCCGGTACGGATAAAAATGAAAAAGACAAAAAAAAAGAAAAAGGCTTTCTTCTAGTGAAGGTGTTTGGCCATTTGTCAAAAATAAGGTAGCTAGGGGGCTGGAGATTTAGCTCAGCGGCATAAGCGCCTGCCTTGCAAGCAGGCAGTCATGAGTTTGATCCCCGGTACTGATAAAAAAGGAAAAAGACAAAAATAAAATAAAATAAAATAAGGTAGCTGAAAGCATTTGGAGTTGTTTCTGCATCCACTGATCCTTGGGTCTGTTTTTCTTTCCCCCAGTACCATGCTGGTTTTTTTTGTTTTGTTTTGTTTTTTTTTAATCACAGTAGCTTTGTAGTATAATTTCTTTCTTTCTTTCTTTTTTTTTTTTTTTTTTGTCTTTTTCCTTTTTATCGGTACCAGGGATCGAACTCATGACTGCCTGCTTGCAAGGCAGGCGCTTATGCCACAGCTAAATCCCCAGCCCCTGTAGTATAATTTCAAATCAGGGATTTTGATGCTCCCTGCCTTGCCTTTGTTGCACAGCATTGCTTTTGCTATTCTAGATCTCTTCTGGTTGCAAATGAATTTCAGGTTTCTTGTCTCTAATTCTGTGAGGTACACTGTTGGTATTTTGATTTAGATTACAGTAAATCTGTATAACAATTTCATTATATTAGTTCTTCCTACCCAAACACAAAGCATATCTTTTCCATTTTCTGATATCCTCTTCAATATACTTTTCAGAGTACTACAGTTTTTGATATAAAGGTCTTTTACTTCCTTTTCTATTTTTTAATTAATTATTATTATTATTTTGTTTTGGATGATACCGGGGATTAAACTCATGACCTCACACTTGCTGGGCAGGTACTTACATCACTGAGTTAAATCTTTTTTGGTCTCTTTTGCATTCTTTTTTTTTTTTTTTTTTTTTTTTTTTTTTTTTGTCTTTTTCCTTTTTATCGGTACCAGGGATCGAACTCACAATTGCCTGCTTCCAAGGCAGGCGCTTATGCCGCTGAGCTAAATCCCCAGCCCCTTTTTTGGTCTTTTTTGAAGCAGGGTTTAATTATGTGGTTCAGGTTGGCCTTGAACCCACTTTGTAGCCCAGGCTGGCCTCAAACTCACAGCGTTCTTCCTGCCTCAGCCTCTCAAGTGTTGGGATGACAGGCATATGCTACCGTGCCTGGTTTACTTTGTTAGATTCCTAGGAATTTCACTTTTTGGATGATGTTGTGAAAGGTGTTGATATAGGGGGAATGAAACTCCCGAACTACTATGTCCGGTATGAGTTTGTGTTCTCTAAAATTGAAGAATGAATTTTAGCAGCATTGGAGGTTAAGAGTAGAATATATTTATTGAAAGAAAGAAAGCTCCTGTCTGAGAGAGACAGAAGGGGTCCTGAGTGGGTTGCCAAGGACTCTCTTTTCCAGGGACTTTTATAGCGTAAAATCACGGGATGAGACGGGTTTAAAATGGGGAAAACTGAGAACTTACACGTCAGATGGGCATGAGGTGGGACAGAACTATGGTTAATAAGATTAATAGTTCAGGTAAAAATGATTTCATTAGGGACAAATGAGAAGTGAGTCATGCAGAAAGCAGGCATTCTTAGAGAGCAGTGACTCTTTCCTAGGGGACTGGGATGGTGACTCCTGGCTTCCTCAGGGTGATAGGGAGCTATTTAGAATATCAGTCCTTAGGATGTGGATGCATTTGTTTGATCTTTTGTCTTGACTGGCTCACAGCGGAGATGCCTGTCATCCCCCACATTTGTAAGGTATCTGCTCTGACCCGTGGCCTGGACCTATCCCTATCTCACTGCCTATAATGTTTCTAACTAACTCAGCTGCCTGCAACAGTGTTGCTTCCCTAATTTTTCTGTCAGCAAATTTGTTATTTGTGTACAGGAGTGTTATTGATTTTTGAGTATTTGACATTGTATCCAGTTACACTACTGAATTTGGTTATTAAATCTAGACATCCTAGCCGGATGTGGTGGCTCACGCCTGTAATCCCAGCACTCGGGAGGCTGAGGCAGGAGGATCATTTCGAGTTTGAGACCAGCCTTGGCTACATGAGCTCAACGCCAGCCTGAACTGC